CAAGGCCATAAGCTCTCTGGGCAACCTATTCTCTAACCTGCCTGGAAAATAAGGGCTGGGAATGCAAATGGGAATGGTCAGGTGTCCATACCTGTGTCAGCTGGGTGGTTGCTGGTTTATGTACCCTCAGTAAACTTTGCTGTTTGCTGAGTCCAAAAATCAGGAACCTGAATTGCTTCTGGCAGTGGAAGTTTTAATCCTGGAATGGTTTGGGATGGAAGGGAATTTAAAGATCGCCCAGTGCCGCGCCCTGCCATGGGAAGGGACACTTCACACTGTCCCAGGGTACTCCAAGCCCTGTCCTACTTGGCCTGGGACACTTCCAGGGATGGGGCAGCCACAKCTTCTCTGGGCACCCTGTTCCAGGGCCTCACCACTCTTATTGTAAGAATAATAAAACTCGGCAAATTTGCAAAATTCCAAGTAAGAAACATWAAGTTTTTAAAACTTGTAGTAAGAAAACTACAATTCCATCATGTTGGGTGGTTTACAAACTCCAGCTCAGCATTTTCTTCTTCCTCATCCCTCTTCTTTTAACACCTCATCYGAGCTGTGCCCACACCTGGGTTATTCCTTCAGTGAGTTGCTTAGAGAGGTGTTTTCCCTGGGGATGGTGGCTGAGTTCCTSGTGGCTGAGTTCCTCCTGGCTGACTGTGTTTCCCTGCTCCCCAGCCGGCTCTGTGGGAGCCCCTGCCCGGCCGTGTGGCCCGATGTCATCAAGCTGCCCTACTTCAACACCATGAAGCCCAAGAAGCAATACCGGCGGCGCCTGCGCGAGGAGTTCTCCTTGTGAGTCGGGATGGGCTCCCTGTCCCTTTCTAAACACCTCATCTGCCTCCAGAGAGGTTCCTTGGCACTGGGAAGGAAGGTTCCTTGCCTTGGGAGCTCTCCTGGGAGCGTGGCATTCTCAGGGTGCTGGCGCTGCCTGATTTCAGGGGGGTGTTCTCAGGGGTGGGGTCTGCTTGTGGGTTGATCTCATGGGAGTTGTGGTAGAGGTGCTGCTCATAAATGACAAAAATGAGAGTGGAAATATTGTGGAATATCCTCAGCTGGAAGGGATGCACAGGGATCATCCAGTCCAGCTCCTGGTGTTGCATAGACACCCCAACAATCCCACCCTGTGCATCCCTGGGAGTGTGTCCAAACTCTCCTGGAGCTCTGTCAGTCTTGGGGCTGTGCCCATTCCCTGGGGATCCTTTTCCTGTGCCCAGCCACCCTCTGGGGGGGAAGATTTCCAAAATCTACCCTAAAACTCCCAGCACAGCTCCAGCCCCTCCCCACACCTGGCTGCCTTTGAGCAGTGAGCTCTGGCTGTGTGGATTCCTCTTAGACCTGAACTCCCTCTCTGAGTTTCTCCCCGTGTTCCCCCTGAGCTCATCCGTGTTTCCCACTCTCCCCACAGCATTCCCTCGTCTGCCCTGGACCTGCTGGACCACATGCTGACGCTGGACCCTGGCAAACGCTGCACAGCAGAGCAGGCCCTGCACAGTGACTTCYTGAAGGACGTTGATCTCAGCAAAATGGCACCTCCAGAGTAAGTCCTGGCCCCCATCCCCRCCATCAGCTTTGGGAAGGAGACCTGGCAGGTTTTTTTCAGTCAAAATCACAATTTCTGTGGTTTTTTTCTTGATTTCACCCTTATATTGTTATTTGGTTGAGCAAATGGCTTTTCCTGTGCTGGTTGTGTTCTGCCTGGTAACAGGCTGGGTTTGTAAAGYCCAGTTTAATGTTTGTAAGATGCTCTAAAGCTGTGCAGGAGTAGATGTAGCACATCCCTATCCCTGCCATGGGGAACAGAGGCCAGACCTCGTTAAGGCTGTGTATTAATTGACTGCAAGGGCTGAGCAGTGTCACAGCAGGAATTTGCTCCCACTCCAGTCAAGATGATAAAACTCTGACTGGTTTGTGTGAGAGTGCAGCCCTGTTTCCTTCAGAGATCCTCAAGGAAGGGCTTTTCCTAAAGCCCCCAGAGCTTGGTGGACTTGTACTCTGTGGACTTTGTGTGTCCTGCAAGGAGATCCCAGCAGGAATGGGGATTCAGGGCTGAGATCCCGGTGCACTCGGGGCTGAGATCCCAGTGAATTCAGGGCTCAGATCCCAGTGCACCCAGGGCTGAGATCCCAGTGCAAAGTCAATTATTTCCCTATAATTATCCTGCCTTTCCTGGTTCTAGCACCTGCCCCTTCCTGTGATAGTCTGGCTGCAGTCAGGGATCATGGAATCACAGCCTGGTTTGGTTGGAAGGGCCCTCAAAGCTCATCCAKTGCCACCCCTGCCATGGGCAGGGTCACCTCCCACCATCCCAGGGTGTTCTGAGCTCCATCCTCAGCCTGGCCTTGGGCACTTCCAGGGATGGGGCAGCCACAGCTTCTCTGGAAAATCCATTCCAGCCCCCCAGCACCCTCACRGGGAGGAATTCCTTCCCAAAATCCCCTGCTGAGTCCATTTCTCCATCTGTAAAAGTGGAGCAGCATTACATGGATCTATCAATTGCATCATGGAATGATTTGGGTGCTCCAAGCTCCATCCAGCCYRGCCTTGGGCACTGCCAGGGATGTGGCATCCCCAAATTTTCTGGGCACCACCAACTGCACTAAAAACTCCCTGTGGGTTTTGAGGGTTCACCTGCATTCCCTGCCATGTTTTCCCCTCGTTGCTCTCTTCCAGCCTTCCCCACTGGCAGGATTGCCAYGAGCTGTGGAGCAAGAAGCGCCGGCGGCAGCGGCAGAGCGGGATGGCCGTGGAGGAGCCTCCGGTATCAAAAGTTTCTCGGAAGGAAACTACCTCTGTTCCAAGCACAGACACTGTGAAAAACAACAGCAGTCCTGTGCCCCCCCAGCCTGCCCAGCTCAAAGCAGAGCCTGGCGCTGCAGATGCAGTAGGTCAGTGCCCARTTGGGTTTGGGAAAGGCTCCTGGGTGTGTTCCCTCCCTGGGTTTTGTGTCTTGTTTCTAAGCCAGTCTGGTTCTTTCACCTCTAATTCTGCAGAAAGGGCATTCCAGGCTCTTCCTGTCCTCATTTCTTTTATTCTTTTTTTTTTTTTTTTCTCCTCCCTCTGCTGTGAAGACACAGAAGGTTCTGTCTGGTCTTCAGAAGTCACTGATGAGCTGACTGTGAATTTGTTCTGAGCTGTGTTATTAGTTCTAAAAGAGGGCGGGTGATGAAAGGAGTCGTTGAGTCACTTCAGCCAGTGGAGAAACAAATCACAGCAATCATAGGCTGGAAGGTGGAGCTACGTCCAAATGAGCTGAAGTTTGATCTTGTTGATAAATTATATAAAGATGAGGTGTGGGATGTGTCAGGCTGGTGGGCAAAAATGTAAATTATTGCACTTTGTTGCACAAAAGGTCATCCAGACTGGCAGGACCCGGCCTTGTGCGCTGTTCCAAGCAATGACCAACCCCCCTGTGCCTAGAAAATAGTTGGAGGGGAAGAATGTGGATTTCCACAAAGCTGCCCTGATTGTTGTGTAGCAGCCTTACAAAAACCCCAGATATGGGCTGAGGCTTCCTTTGTGTCCGATGCTGTGCTGACAAGTAACAAGGAAGACAGTTCTTGCTCCAGGGAATGCASGATCCATGTGTTCAGTGAAACATGGCAGATGGACAAAAGGTGGTGCTTGGATTAACAAACAGCTGGGAAAAGAATGTCCCGTTCTCCGGTGCCTACCGGCGAGAGAAGCTCCATTTTGAGCTGCTGAAGCCAAACCCTTGCRCCCTTATTCCCAAAAAGTTCCGGCCTCGTTGTGGGTGTGAAGGGACACCCTTGGCACTTGTCACTGGGAAGGGAGGCAGTGCCACTCCCAGGATGTATTTTAGGATAACCTGGATCCTTGCAGGTCAGGACAGAGTCCTGTGATCCCAGGCCAGCTCCCAGCAAGGAATTGCCTTCTGCCTGACCTAATTCCTTGTGCTGCGTCAGGGAACACGCCCTTCCTCCCTCCCTCCATCCCAAAGAGCAGCTCAGCTCCATCCTGGGAACCTGGAAACAGCTCAGGAGGGGGTGATGTGGATCTGTGGGGGCCTCAGGAGGGACCAGGCTGTGATTGCCCTGCTGTGATTGCATGGGGCTTCAATTGCCATCATGCCCCTGACACCCCCAGCCATAGCCTGGCATCCTTGAGATACCCCGACTTCCCAAACCCGGGAATGGGGCAGCTTGGCTGGGCTGGGCTGAGCCAGTTGTGAGCAGCAGCAGCAGCGTGTGCTGTGGTTTTTGGGGAGGTTTGAGGGGCGGTGAGGCAGCAGCAACAGCAGTGGGTGCAGTGTGTGTGCAGTGCCACGGGGTGCTGCTGCCGTGCTGCCGATCCCGAAATCCTCCCGGAGCATCCCTGCCTTCCCCAGCCCGGGGTGTTTGGGTGCTGTGGGATTAGGGAAAGGGTGTTCCTGGCTATGGGGTGTAGGAAAGGAGTTTTCAGGTGCTGTGGAATGTAGGGAATGAATATTTGTGGATATGGGGTGTAGAAAAGGAGTGTTCAGGTGCTGTTGAATGTAGGGAAGGGGCGTTCCTGGCTATGGGGTGTAGGAAAGGAGTTTTCAGGTGCTGTGGAATGTAGGGAATGAATATTTGTGGATATGGGGTGTAGAAAAGGAGTGTTCAGGTGCTGTTGAATGTAGGGAAGGGGCGTTCCTGGCTATGGGGTGTAGGAAAGGAGTTTTCAGGTGCTGTGGAATGTAGGGAATGAATATTTGTGGATATGGGGTGTAGAAAAGGAGTGTTCAGGTGCTGTTGAATGTAGGGAAGGGGCGTTCCTGGCTATGGGGTGTAGGAAAGGAGTTTTCAGGTGCTGTGGAATGTAGGGAATGAATATTTGTGGATATGGGGTGTAGAAAAGGAGTGTTCAGGTGCTGTTGAATGTAGGGAAGGGGCGTTCCTGGCTATGGGGTGTAGGAAAGGAGTTTTCAGGTGCTGTGGAATGTAGGGAATGAATATTTGTGGATATGGGGTGTAGAAAAGGAGTGTTCAGGTGCTGTTGAATGTAGGGAAGGGGCGTTCCTGGCTATGGGGTGTAGGAAAGGAGTTTTCAGGTGCTGTGGAATGTAGGGAATGAATATTTGTGGATATGGGGTGTAGAAAAGGAGTGTTCAGGTGCTGTTGAATGTAGGGAAGGGGCGTTCCTGGCTATGGGGTGTAGGAAAGGAGTTTTCAGGTGCTGTGGAATGTAGGGAATGAATATTTGTGGATATGGGGTGTAGAAAAGGAGTGTTCAGGTGCTGTTGAATGTAGGGAAGGGGCGTTCCTGGCTATGGGGTGTAGGAAAGGAGTTTTCAGGTGCTGTGGAATGTAGGGAATGAATATTTGTGGATATGGGGTGTAGAAAAGGAGTGTTCAGGTGCTGTTGAATGTAGGGAAGGGGCGTTCCTGGCTATGGGGTGTAGGAAAGGAGTTTTCAGGTGCTGTGGAATGTAGGGAATGAATATTTGTGGATATGGGGTGTAGAAAAGGAGTGTTCAGGTGCTGTTGAATGTAGGGAAGGGGCGTTCCTGGCTATGGGGTGTAGGAAAGGAGTTTTCAGGTGCTGTGGAATGTAGGGAATGAATATTTGTGGATATGGGGTGTAGAAAAGGAGTGTTCAGGTGCTGTTGAATGTAGGGAAGGGGCGTTCCTGGCTATGGGGTGTAGGAAAGGAGTTTTCAGGTGCTGTGGAATGTAGGGAATGAATATTTGTGGATATGGGGTGTAGAAAAGGAGTGTTCAGGTGCTGTTGAATGTAGGGAAGGGGCGTTCCTGGCTATGGGGTGTAGGAAAGGAGTTTTCAGGTGCTGTGGAATGTAGGGAATGAATATTTGTGGATATGGGGTGTAGAAAAGGAGTGTTCAGGTGCTGTTGAATGTAGGGAAGGGGCGTTCCTGGCTATGGGGTGTAGGAAAGGAGTTTTCAGGTGCTGTGGAATGTAGGGAATGAATATTTGTGGATATGGGGTGTAGAAAAGGAGTGTTCAGGTGCTGTTGAATGTAGGGAAGGGGCGTTCCTGGCTATGGGGTGTAGGAAAGGAGTTTTCAGGTGCTGTGGAATGTAGGGAATGAATATTTGTGGATATGGGGTGTAGAAAAGGAGTGTTCAGGTGCTGTTGAATGTAGGGAAGGGGCGTTCCTGGCTATGGGGTGTAGGAAAGGAGTTTTCAGGTGCTGTGGAATGTAGGGAATGAATATTTGTGGATATGGGGTGTAGAAAAGGAGTGTTCAGGTGCTGTTGAATGTAGGGAAGGGGCGTTCCTGGCTATGGGGTGTAGGAAAGGAGTTTTCAGGTGCTGTGGAATGTAGGGAATGAATATTTGTGGATATGGGGTGTAGAAAAGGAGTGTTCAGGTGCTGTTGAATGTAGGGAAGGGGCGTTCCTGGCTATGGGGTGTAGGAAAGGAGTTTTCAGGTGCTGTGGAATGTAGGGAATGAATATTTGTGGATATGGGGTGTAGAAAAGGAGTGTTCAGGTGCTGTTGAATGTAGGGAAGGGGCGTTCCTGGCTATGGGGTGTAGGAAAGGAGTTTTCAGGTGCTGTGGAATGTAGGGAATGAATATTTGTGGATATGGGGTGTAGAAAAGGAGTGTTCAGGTGCTGTTGAATGTAGGGAAGGGGCGTTCCTGGCTATGGGGTGTAGGAAAGGAGTTTTCAGGTGCTGTGGAATGTAGGGAATGAATATTTGTGGATATGGGGTGTAGAAAAGGAGTGTTCAGGTGCTGTTGAATGTAGGGAAGGGGCGTTCCTGGCTATGGGGTGTAGGAAAGGAGTTTTCAGGTGCTGTGGAATGTAGGGAATGAATATTTGTGGATATGGGGTGTAGAAAAGGAGTGTTCAGGTGCTGTTGAATGTAGGGAAGGGGCGTTCCTGGCTATGGGGTGTAGGAAAGGAGTTTTCAGGTGCTGTGGAATGTAGGGAATGAATATTTGTGGATATGGGGTGTAGAAAAGGAGTGTTCAGGTGCTGTTGAATGTAGGGAAGGGGCGTTCCTGGCTATGGGGTGTAGGAAAGGAGTTTTCAGGTGCTGTGGAATGTAGGGAATGAATATTTGTGGATATGGGGTGTAGAAAAGGAGTGTTCAGGTGCTGTTGAATGTAGGGAAGGGGCGTTCCTGGCTATGGGGTGTAGGAAAGGAGTTTTCAGGTGCTGTGGAATGTAGGGAATGAATATTTGTGGATATGGGGTGTAGAAAAGGAGTGTTCAGGTGCTGTTGAATGTAGGGAAGGGGCGTTCCTGGCTATGGGGTGTAGGAAAGGAGTTTTCAGGTGCTGTGGAATGTAGGGAATGAATATTTGTGGATATGGGGTGTAGAAAAGGAGTGTTCAGGTGCTGTTGAATGTAGGGAAGGGGCGTTCCTGGCTATGGGGTGTAGGAAAGGAGTTTTCAGGTGCTGTGGAATGTAGGGAATGAATATTTGTGGATATGGGGTGTAGAAAAGGAGTGTTCAGGTGCTGTTGAATGTAGGGAAGGGGCGTTCCTGGCTATGGGGTGTAGGAAAGGAGTTTTCAGGTGCTGTGGAATGTAGGGAATGAATATTTGTGGATATGGGGTGTAGAAAAGGAGTGTTCAGGTGCTGTTGAATGTAGGGAAGGGGCGTTCCTGGCTATGGGGTGTAGGAAAGGAGTTTTCAGGTGCTGTGGAATGTAGGGAATGAATATTTGTGGATATGGGGTGTAGAAAAGGAGTGTTCAGGTGCTGTTGAATGTAGGGAAGGGGCGTTCCTGGCTATGGGGTGTAGGAAAGGAGTTTTCAGGTGCTGTGGAATGTAGGGAATGAATATTTGTGGATATGGGGTGTAGAAAAGGAGTGTTCAGGTGCTGTTGAATGTAGGGAAGGGGCGTTCCTGGCTATGGGGTGTAGGAAAGGAGTTTTCAGGTGCTGTGGAATGTAGGGAATGAATATTTGTGGATATGGGGTGTAGAAAAGGAGTGTTCAGGTGCTGTTGAATGTAGGGAAGGGGCGTTCCTGGCTATGGGGTGTAGGAAAGGAGTTTTCAGGTGCTGTGGAATGTAGGGAATGAATATTTGTGGATATGGGGTGTAGAAAAGGAGTGTTCAGGTGCTGTTGAATGTAGGGAAGGGGCGTTCCTGGCTATGGGGTGTAGGAAAGGAGTTTTCAGGTGCTGTGGAATGTAGGGAATGAATATTTGTGGATATGGGGTGTAGAAAAGGAGTGTTCAGGTGCTGTTGAATGTAGGGAAGGGGCGTTCCTGGCTATGGGGTGTAGGAAAGGAGTTTTCAGGTGCTGTGGAATGTAGGGAATGAATATTTGTGGATATGGGGTGTAGAAAAGGAGTGTTCAGGTGCTGTTGAATGTAGGGAAGGGGCGTTCCTGGCTATGGGGTGTAGAAAAGGGGTGTTCAGATGCTGTGGGATGTAGCAAAGGGGTGGTTTTGGGTATGGGGTATAGAAAAGGGTGTTCAGATGCTGTTGGGAAGGGGTGTTTCTGCCTATGGAATGTAGAAAAAGAATTTTCTGGTGCTGTGGGATGTAAGGAAGGGGTGGTTTTGGATATGGGATGTAGGAAAGAGGTTTTTCAGTGCTGTGGGGATGTGATGACAGGATGTTCAGTGCTGTGGGGACGTGGAAAAGGGGTGTCCTGGCTGTTGGACGTGGAAAAGGG